AAAAGGCTTGTCTTATCTTTGAGGGGCTCTATTGGTGAGATATCTGTACCCAAGTTTTGAGGTTTCAATTTTTTGCTGTTGCCATTAGAAGGGGTTGCCACTCTCCCTGTTGGAACACTTAAAACTCCAGTTTTAAGTGTTCCAACTTAAAGACCCACTTAAAGTAAGTGAACCATTTCCGCTTACTTTCTCCACTGTGCTACCATCAGTTTTAGTCCCCCTAGCCTTGCGCCCTCACGTTCGTTTTTGTTTCACTAGCGCAGGCACTTCTCCTGTCTCTTAGGGCTGCAGGCGAGGCAGAGCTACAGCACCCTATTCCCTTGGCCCAATCCGAGAGCGCTGTTCGTAATATTTGTATGTGCTTTTCGTCTACCAGTCCCTCACTGAGTGGAGTCTTCTACAGCAGCACTCGGTCCCCTCCCTAGTTTCAATATGATAACTATGATCAGAAATAATAAATTAGACCTCATCTTTCCAACAAATGCCTCATGCCCCACCATCTCGGCTTTGTCTAGGTGTCCCCCCCCACCTCTGCCAGACAAATTAGAAGTGTCCAACGCAACCGCTCCACACTCCCTATCTCACGAAAATACCATGCAAAGCCTCTTTTTTAAACTACAGAATTTGATTAACCATGAGAGCCTACAATGGTGGGACACAGCCTTTCTAAGGAAATATATAGATTTCGGGATTAGCCTCGGCATACCATCACAGAACCTTTTAACTCTTTTTATTGCATGCCCTGCTCATCCCCGCTAGACCCTAGAGATCGTTCGTCATACCAATGAGTATCATGCCGCTCTTAATTAATCACTCAGGGTTCCACTGTCCACACTTTTGTTATATAACTAGCCATTGTTTTTATTTCCCTTATACGCCTTAGTCACAGTCCTTCAATTATCCCCACATCTAAGGCACACACGGAATCCCCAGACTTCCGTTGAGACCGAACAGCTGTCACTCATGACGGCGCCGCCTACCTTCTCCAAACTCCGCCCAGCTGTCACACTTAAATCGGCGGTTTCCCGCCGCCGTTACACCATTCCTAATGAGCTTGATAAAGAGGTAACATCCTCGAAACGCGTTGCTCCCGAGCCTCCACCCACTGCTTCACCAACCTGATCCTTCCTCACTTTATCACCACCCCGGCCGATTCTCCATCCTGCATCTTCACCACAGCCCGGACACTGGCCTAGACACGCACATCTCACAGCCCGATCTACTCCACCCACAGCGGCAGCCCAGCCTGACGTCAGTCTTCACACCACCGGCACTTCACATTGCTCCAGCGGTGACACGGACACACTGACACATCCATCTGGTCCGGAGACCCACTTAAAGTAAGTGAACCATTTCCTCTTACTTTCTCCACTGTGCTACCATCAGTTTCTTAGTCCCCCTAGCCTTGCGCCCTCACGTTCGTTTTTGTTTTAAAACTCCAGGTGGCCCTGAAGTCACCCTGCTAAATGTACGGCCTCTATACCCCCCATCCTTTCCTCTCTTATGCTCCCCTCTATTCCTACCCTTCACTTTTTCCTCTAGGTCTCCATCTCTGTGAAACCGACTCTGTTCACCATAGTTAAGTTTGCTACTTACAACTTTTTGCACAAGTTTTGTTAACTTACACCCTCCTCTCCGGACACGATGATCTGCGACCAGATTGCTAGTACCTAGGATGATGCACATACTCTTCCATTTAGAGGAATATCGACCTGATATACAGGTGTAATGTAATAATTGAAGATAGTGTAGCAGTTCCTGTGCCGGTACATATGATATGATACTGTTATGTAATTCTCATGCTGATCTGGACGCAATGCACAACAATGTATAGTTATATGTTATGTGGTCAAATTGTGACCGTGATTCTTTTCTGTTTGATTGCCCATCCTTATGTGTCTACTTTATACGTTTTAATAAAGACGTTTTTGAATTTAAAAAAAAAATAAACCCCAGGACAGGAAGAGAGTCAGAAATGATGGAAAGGAGATCACTGTCAGAATATCCAAGTCAGGGCCTGATGAAGCCCAACAGACTCTACATATAAATATCACTTTTGGGTGGACTGACCCATTACATAACTACCACTGTTTCAGGTTTCCTTTTTTAACATTATTATAAAAAGGTAATTATTTGCCATGCCAGTCACACATGAATAATCTTTAAAGTTAATATGTCAAACCTGCACACAAACAATAATAAAATGTACTTTAATGCTGCAAAGTACTGAAAATACAATCAGCACATCGCCAACCAGTTTATGAGAGTTTTCTAACTTGTCCACTCTCTATTCCCCCAGATGAGACTCTGCTTAAGGAGACTGTGGGTGACCCATTTTTTGGAGGATGGAAAATCTCTCTTTAAGCTGGTTGTGATCTTTCACTGTTCTGTATAGAAGAATTCACTGTTCTGTATAGAAGAATTCAAAATAAGTACTGCATTTGCACTGTGATCACAGTTTGTCCAATATTGCATTGGGTCTTAGCGTTATATCTCCCCATCCATTGTTCTGAGAGATATCTTCATGTCTGTGGCAAAGAATTATGCTGAATGTCCCTAATAACTAAAATGTGCATAATAACAATGGTGGACAATTATAAGTGCACGAATAAAGCCCCTACAATATAATAAAGCAAGAGCCAAATGATTCAAATATCTGCCTCCTTCAATGGTTACTTACCAACAGTAGTCACCAAGGTGCTGGCAAAAAACAGGGAAGATGCCAGATCCCACTTGCTCTCATTGGAGTTGTTGTATAAGATAGAAACTCCAAATTTGTTGGCGCTGATCACCTTCTCAAGGAAGGCCTCCAAACTACTCTCATTGACACACCGACTCTCATTCAAGAATAGCTGTTTCAGCCTCTGCAGCTCTTTTCGTAGGTTTCCTTCATATGGGGCCTCAATGCTGGAGACAACCCATGCTCCCAGAAGAAGGTAGATCAGATAACTTCCGATAAGCAGCGTAAGCACTAACCAGGACTTCATGACAGTTCTAAGCAGAGAAAACATAACATTGAAGATGAACTGTCAGTAACTTTACAAAAAACTGTATGAACAATTAATGACAAAATATACAGCAACAATAGAATATTTCAAACTCTAAATGTTATTATTAAAAAAAAAAAAAAAAAAAAAACAGTCTC